TTTCAGTCTGGACTTTGAGGCCTAAGTTCAGGACCATGGACAGTTCCTGCACAGCTCAGGCTGAAACCCAGAGTGGATGTCTCTCTCCACAGAGACCATCATTTCATTTCTATACCACCCCACAGCATGATATCCTTTGCTCTGTTCATCTTTTCTTCCACCATCTTTCTTTCTCTAAACTTGGGAAGGATGTCGTTTTATGAAGATGTTTTATATGATCTTTTTATGGCTTTTTTTCTTTAAGAACTGTATTTTGATTACTGTTGTAAGCCATCTAGCTATCCCTGTTGGGATTGGTGGTGGCATACAAGCACAAAAACAAACAAATAAACATTCCATCCTTCTTAGGTTGGACTGAGGGCAACATCCATGCAATTCCAGGCATGCGATTCCATGCATATGTCCATCCAGGCTCTGACCAGATCCCATTCTACTTAGCTTCAATAAAATTATGCACTGTGTGCCTTCAAGAGACAACCAGACAGCCCTCTGAAAGGGATGGTTCAACTTGGATTACTGCAGTGCTCTGTCTGTCCATGTAGGGCCAAACTCGGCAAATTAGTCGTACCTGAAAGAAGGTGCTTCTGTCTACTGAGCACACCTGAGGATCGAGTGATAGCTTTGGGTCCAGAAGCACCCCAAGCTACAGACCCTGTCTTTCAGGGGGAGTGCAATCCCATTCAGGACAGGATGAAGGGCCCACCCTCTGGGCAGATGGATCATCCACCAACAGCACCTCTGCCTTAACTGTACTGAGCTTCAATTTGTTGGTCCACATCCAGTCCATTATCGAGCTCAGGCAGTGATTCAGAACAGAAACCACCTCACCTGGTTAGATGAAAAGGAGATGTAAAGCTCAGCACCCATCTACAAGTGTCCTCTCCCAGCAGTTTTGTTTATGTCTTAAACAGCATGGCTGACAGTCTAGAGCTCTGAGGAATCCCATGGTGTAACCGCTATGGGGCAGAGCAACTGTCCCCCAGCACTGCCTTCTGGACAGGGTCAGCCAGATAGGAGTGGGACCACTGCAATGCAGTGCCCCCAACTCCTAATCCAGTCAACCTGTCCTCCAGCATGGTCAGTGGTGTCAAAAGCTACAGAGAGGTCCAGGAGAACCAACAGAGTGGCACTCCCCCATCCCTGTCCTGGCAAAGGTCATCCCATAGGGCCACCAAAACTGTCTCCATCCTAAACCCTAGACTAAAGCTCAATTGAAATGGATCTACCTAATCTGTTTCTTCCAAGACTACCTGGAGCTAGTTGGCCACCACCTGCTCAAGTACCTTGCCCAAAAATGGGATATTCACAACAGGCAACAAGAGTGGTCCAATCACAGCCTCTGTGGGCTGTGACCAGTCCCTCTCTGAATGAGATGTTGATGCCCTCCTGGACCCAGGGGAGAACCCCCTTGCTAGATCCCTTAATGAGCCAAGATGGCCAAGGGCCAAGGAACGAAGAAGAAGCACAGGGAGAGCAAAGCAACCTATCAGCAAGCAAAATCAATCCATCAAGGGCAGTTAAGATGGTACTTTGGATGCCTTTTTCAGTGGAACTAAATCAGTTGTGGAGTCCAAATTGTGGCAGATTTGAGCAACTTCATCTTCCAAGTTGTAAGCAAACTCATCACACGGAGGCACTGAGGTTTCAGAGGCTGAAAGCTTTGGAAAAGTGGTCTATCCAATTATATCTCCCCATTCAGGTACCCTATCTCACAGTCTTCCAGTCATGAATGTACATATCTGAAGGTAGGTGTTCAGGACAGAACAGGAATTATTACGGCACATACCACTTCCCAACAACGCTCTTCTTGAGCTAGCTGGGGTAGCCTTGGGCTGGTGGTGGAGTATCCTGGGCTTGTTCCCTTGTGGGACTTCAACAAGCACACTTAGAACACATTTTCAGGAGTTGTTCAGAACTTTGTGGCCTCCAAGGTGACCACGGATCTGTCCGAAATAGTCCCTGGCCCACTCAATCTGCAGGGTCAAAGACCTATTCTGCCTCTGGGAGGATGACAGTGAGCTGATGATGGAGGAATTCCTCCAGGTGATGAGATGGGCAGGTCACTCCCTGGTGGGGTTTAGAGCTGCTGGGACAGGTGCTTGTGGTAGGTAGTCCTCAAGAGTTTCTCCAAAATTGAATCCAGTCTTTCAGCCACAAAAGGTTCATCCCCCCGAGCAATGATAGAGCCTGAGTAATGATTCTGAGCTACCAGAGCCTTCCCTGCTGCCTCCCACAAGTTGAAAAAAATATGTAGGTAAATTCTCATGGGTGTAGACCATGTGGCTATGAATGGATTTTGCCCAGTCCTGACATTTCTCCAGGTATTAATTATTACTGGCAGAATCCCAGCAGGTGCAGGAAGTCTCAGTCTGAATTATCTTGATTCTCATGCCCGTTTGGAGTCCTCCTTCTCGTGCCAGTGGGAGGTCCTGAGCTATAAAATAAAAGAATGTGAAGGGCCATCTCCAAGGATGTGCTTATTGGCTAGCAAAAGATGGGGGAGCTGTGAATTTCTGGGGAGAGATGGAAATGTGGTCCATGGGCATAAGATGGGTGAGTATGAAGAGCCACTCTACAAATAACACCTCCTCTCTCTCTCTCTCTCTCTCTCTCTCTCTCTCTCTCTCTCTCTCTCTCTCTCTCTCTGCGTGTGTGTGTGTGTGTGTGTGTGTGTGTGTCCATTCAAAAGCCTAAGAGGAAAGACCTTAGAAGTACTTTATAGTCCTTTCTTTGCTTTGGCTTTTTTTTAAAAAAGTCCAGACAGATTTCTCCAAAACTCACAAATAGATGGGAGTTTTCTGCAATGATGTAGGAGCAAAAGCACGGGAAGGACCTCTCAGTAGGCTTGTCTGAGGACTGCAGAGGCCGTCTTCCACCCCTTTCTCTTCCACAGTTTCCATCTCTCCATCGCCTCTGCACCACCAGCCTTCCAGCAGGAAGGAGATGCTGCGAGCTCTGATCGCAGCGGGTGCTTATTTTAGCCTTGTCACTTTGCTGGTCCGGAAGCCAAGGCTTGCGCCAAAAGGGGAGGCCAGGTTGCAAATGGGAACGGCATATTTCCAGCATGTTGCCCCTCTGCTGAGCTCCCTCTCAGACCAGGTTTGACAGTCTGGTACTTGCTTACAAATCTCACTACATTCCAGGGGCAGGACACTTGAGGGACGGCTGGACCATAAAGCTCCTTCTTTGAGTGCTCCTCTCATCAGGAATTTCCCTCTGGGTAGTGCCGACGCTTTTGAAGGTCTGGTCCAGGATGATGCTGAGCAGGGCCTGGAGGGTCACAGGGCGCTCCTGCTAAACCTTCCTCCTGCCCCACAGCGATGATTGTGGATGCTTCTGGGCTATTGGGACCAGCTGAATGCAGACATTTCCCAACATGCGTTCCCAGGAAGGTAATCTCGTCTTCTGTATGCAGTTAATGATATCGAGTACTTAATTGTGTCATTACAATTCTGTATGTGGGTCCAAGTCATTCATGCAGGAAAATAAAGGACACGAACCTCTCCTCTCCTCTCCTCTCCTCTCCTCTCCTCTCCTCTCCTCTCCTCTCCTCTCCTGCATGTAAGCCCTGTACTTGGAAACTTACAGGGAAGTTATAGAAAGAGAGCGAGTCATTGTATTCAGTGGAGGCAATCCTCTTGATGGGTGTTTTTACAGGACTAATTGCAACTTTTTTTGGGGGAAGGTAGGAGGCTGGAGAGACTTCCGGATGGATTGTATCCTGCTTTCTCTGCCCCCAAACACCTCTTTTTCCCATCTCCCACAATTGCTTTCCCTATCACGGAAGGGACCCTGTGTGGCCCTTTTGTGCCAGCTATGAAGGGAACTAGAGGACCAGAGAAGGGTTGGGAAGAAACCTCATGGGACCATCCCTCAGGATTCGTGGTCTTGCCTGGCTTGGTCTTCGAAAGTGAGCCAAGCCAAGAGCAAGTCTGTGAATGCTTGAGGAACAAAGGATCAGTCCCATGGGCTTGGGTTGCTTCCTCCATTAAGGAATTTCCCCAGGAAGTCAGGAGCAAAATTGGCCCCATTCACATGGGGGAGGCCGTGAAGCAACTTTGGACAAAAACATGAGAAGGTAACAATGACTCTTCAGAATCCCATTGCTTTAAAAATGTAACTCAGTGCACACAGTTGTTGTAGGAAAGGATGAAGATCAGGGAGGTTATAGGGCTGTTGATGGCACTGAAGTAAGACTTGGTTTTCACATACCTTGTAAGAAATGCTTGTATGCAAAGGGACATGACTGAAAGTGTGCCCAGTGTCCTTTGGGACATTTCAGAAAGTTTTCTGAAAATTTTCTTCTTATAATTTCCTTATGTCACTGGGGTGATACACATAGGTTTCTTTAGCAATAGAAATTGATATATTGATGTTCTCTCTATTGCTGCCCATTTAAGAGACATTTTGCTTTTACTTAAGTCAGGATGGACACCAGGAGCACCACAAAGTAAAGCTGCAAACTCTTTGGAAATATTGGTGTTGGTGCCACAAAGAGCTGAACAAGCCCAATTTAAAATCATAGAATCATAGAATAGTAGAGTTGGAAGGGGCCATGAAGGCCATCGAGTCCAACCTCTGCTGTTGCAGGACACTGCATTACACCATCCCACTCAGATGGCTGTTCTTCTGAAGGTGATCAGTTGGTCCTTTCAAATACCTTGATGTCCTTGTAGGATGTCGCCTTTGCTGGTGGCATGGCCTGGCCTACAGTATTTATTTTCCATTTCAAAGTGGCTTGCTGCTGAACTTTGGTGGCAAGCTGCTATTTCACCCCTGTTGCTCCATGGAATGTAGCCTGGAGGGAGGGGACTAGGGCTGGATAGAAGTCCCAAGAACAAGAAGTTTCTCCATTCTAAATTGTTTTGTTTGGAGTATGAGAAAAGAAGACATTCTGGATGTCAAAATGTGGGTTTTCAGAACAATAGGAGAAGCAAAGCACATTGCTGAGGCATGTCATTTTTCAGGAGATCAATGCTCTGTTTTGGGTGAGGTTATAGATGGGGAACAACACTATGCATGATGACTTCATCCTCTTGGGCTTCCTCATTGGACACCAAGCAGAGATTCTCCTGGCAGTGTTCCTCATTGCCATATACGCGTTGACAGTAGCTGGCAATGTGACCATCCTGTTCATCACCGCCACCAACAGCTGCCTCCACACGCCCATGTACTTCTTCCTTGGCAACCTCTCCGTACTGGACCTCGCGTTTCCAACCGTGACTGTCCCCAGGCTGCTAAGAAGCCTCCTTTCTGGAGTCAAGGCCATCTCCTTTGCTGGCTGCATGGCCCAGTCCTACTTCTACTTCTTGCTGGGCACGGTGGAGTACTTCCTCCTGACCTCCATGTCCTATGACCGGTACGTGGCCATATGCGACCCATTACACTATCCCATCATCATGAATGGCCGTTTCTGCGTCCAAGTGGTGCTGGCTTGCTGGATGGGTGGGTTTGTCTCTGTCCTCTACCCAGTCATCACCATCACCAGCTTCTCCTACTGCAAGTCCAATGTTATTGACCACTTCTTCTGTGACAGTGAACCTCTGATGAAGTTGTCCTGCACAGACCCAGGTTTGATCCAGATTGTCACCTTTGTGCTGTCCTCGATCGTTATCCTCTGCTCCTTGACCTTCACTCTCATTTCCTACGCTTACATCGTCTCTACCATATTGGTCATGCCCTCAGATACTGGGAGGAAGAAGGCCTTCAACACGTGCGCATCCCATCTGACTTTGATCCTAATGGCCACAAGTGTCTCCATCTTGCTGTATGTGATCCCGTCGAAGAAATCCTCAGGGGGAGCCCGCAGAGTCCCAGCCCTACTCAATAGCATAATCAACCCATTTCTGAGTCCCCTTGTATACACCTTGAGAAATGATTTGTTCCAAAGAATCTTGCGAGAGAGTTTGGTCAAGGTAAAGCAATGATGGCTCAGCGTCTGCAGAATACTACCTAAATTCTGGGGAAAAGGTGATTAGACTTTGATATTGCATTCTTTTATTTATGTATTCCTATCCTGCCCCATAGCTGAAGCTGTCTTGGCAGTCTACAGCAGCGCAAAAAAGGAAGCAACAAAACGCAATACAAACAGATGAACAAAACTGTGTTCAAATTAATGTAAAATAACTCAAACCCAGACAGTAAAAAAGACCTTGCAAAGGAAAAAGAATCACGTAAATAATGCCTCAGGCTCCTGGATAACCAAGTAGCTCTTTAGAGGCCTCCACATGAAGGACTGTCTTGAGCTGGCAGATTAAAAATGACCTCCCTCGCAGGTTGCAGCAGGACAGATGTCCTTAAGATGGTGGTCACCACAGAGAAGAGTAGTTGGGCATGGAGAGATTCTGGGCATTTTCAGTCTTCACTCAGCATAACCTGACAAGCTTTATTTATTGTTTATTTATTTAAAAATTTCTATGCCGCCCCATTCGCCGAAGCCTCGGGGCGGCTTAAAAAACAACAGTTAAAATATAAAACACTAAAAATATAAAACACATTAACATTATAAAATAAGTCGCCCTGGCCGAAGAATTAAGCAAATAATATTAACAATTAAAATGACGTTTGAATAAAAAGGTCTTTGCCTGGCACCGAAAAACAAATAACGACGGCGCCAAGCGGACCTCTCTGGGGAGTGCATTCCATAGATTGGGCGCCACTGCTGAGAAAGCCCTCCTCTGGGTACTTAGCCTCCTAATTTCCTTCACGGAGGGTTCCTGGAGAAGGGCCTCTCCCGCAGATCTCAAGGGGCGGGCGGGCGTATATGGATGTAAGCGCTCCTTCAGGTAACCAGGACCCAAGCCGTTTAGGGCTTTATAGGTCATCACCAACACCTTGAATTGGGCCTGGACTTCAATGGGAAGCCAGTGAAGCTGACGAAGGACTGGAGTCATGTGAACATAACGCCCAGTCCCCGTCAGCAGCCTGGCAGCTCTATTTTGAACCAATTGAAGTATCCGGACCGTCTTCAAGGGTAGCCCCATGTAGAGCGCGTTACAGAAGTCAAGGCAGGAAGTCACCAAAGCATGTGTCACTGTCGCCAGACAGTCGTACTCCAGGTAGGGGCGCAGCTGATGGATCAGCGAAAGGTGAAGGAAAGCGCTCCTCGCCACTGCTGTCACCTGAGCTTCCAATGAAAGCTCTGGGTTGAGGAGCACTCCCAAGCTGTGGACCTTGTCCCTAAGAGGGAGTGCAACCCCATTCAGGACAAGGTTCAATTCACCCTCTCTGAAGCCCGATCCGCCAACCAACAGGACCTCCGTCTTGTCTGGACTGAACTTCAGTTTATTGGCCCTCATCCAGTCCATTATCTCGGCCAGGCACCAGTTCAGCACAGCCACTGCCTCACCTGGATTGGTGGAAAATGAGAGGTAGAGCTGGGTATCATCAGCATACTGATGATTCCGCAGCCCACACCTCCTGATGACCTCCCCCAGAGGTTTCATGTAGATGTTAAACAGCAAAGGGGACAAAATGGACCCCTGCGGTACTCCATGGCATAGCTGCCATGGCGCAGAGCCATAGTCCCCCAGCACCACCTTCTGGAATCGGTTATTGAGGTAGGAGCGGAACCACTGCAAAGCAGTGCCTCCAACCCCCAATCCCGCAAGCCTATCCAGAAGGATACCATGGTCGATGGTATCGAAAGCCACTGAGAGGTCCAGAAGAACGAACAGGGACGCACTCCCCCTGTCCTTCTCCCTGCACAGGTCATCGTACAGGGCAACCAAGGCAGATTCAGTACCATACCCGGGTCTGAAGCCGGACTGAAATGGGTCCAGATAATCCATTTCATCCAAGAGAGCTTGGAGTTGTCCCTCCATCACCCGCTCCAACACCTTGCCCAGAAATGGGAGGTTGGCCACTGGTCTATAATTAGTGGCCATCTCTGGATCCAGTGATGCCTTCTTCAGGACCGGTCAGACTACCACATCCTTTAAAGGGGCAGGTACCCGACCCTCCCTCAGAGAGGCGTTAACCACTTCCAAGATCCAGATCCCAGTCCCGTGCTTGGAATTATTTATTAACCAAGACGGGCAAGGGTCCAATAGGCAAGTGGTGGGACATACTCGTCCAAGCACCTTGTCCACATCATCAGGTCGCAAAATTCATCCATTAATTTTGGACCAGACGGCACATTGGTATCTCCCCAGAAACCTCTGAATCACTAGTGGTATCCAGCTCATGATGAATCTGAGCGATTTTCTCCCTGAAATGCTTGGCAAAGTCGTTGCAGTGGGCCTTCGAGGGAGGAACCAGATCTTTCTTAGGACCTGGATGAACCAGGCCTTGCACCACTCAAAAAAGCTCCGCTGGACGGCATTTTGAGGAGGCAATGGAAACGGAAAAGAAATTCTTTTTCGCCGCCCTCACCACCACAGCATAGGCCCGATAATGGGCTCTCAAGTGTGTTTGGTCAGATTCATCCCGTGATTTCCTCCACCTACGCTCTAGCCATCTCCCAGCCTGCTTCATCGCCCACAATTCAGGTGTATACAAGGGGGACGAGTGGGCTCTGCCTGGCAGGAAAGGTGGGAAAAATGTGGGATAGGCATCTAATAATTAAACAAGTATAAATAGAATGAATAAAGATTGGCCCACAATCTTTGCTCAGCACCAACACTTTTTTCTTTTCAGCGCCAGGTGAAAAACTTTTTATTTTCCTATTATTTTAATGTTTAATCGGTTTTAAGGAGGTTTTATGTGATTGAATTACTGGATCCTGTGCCATTTATTTGACATTTTATTTGTTACTTGTTGTGAACCGTTCCAAGATGCCAACAGAGGGACGATCTATAAAAGTTTTAAATAAATACACAAAATAAAAATCTGGCAATCTTTATTGCCCATCTTTCTCTACCCCTCTGAACCAGGAGTGAATGTGGGAACCATCGTTCATAGGTACTGATGTACCCAAGGATGTGACACAAGAGATATCGGTTTTTTTCTTGGAAGAGTGTGCTAAGGATGTGAGCACAGCTTTCCTGAAGGGGAGACCGTGTGCTGTGCATTGGATGACAATGTTCATACAACCCTAAGTAAAGGACTACGAATCTTGCATCCATGTGGCTGACATTTTGGAATTCAAGCACACCTGAGATTCATTTTCTACCCTACCCATAATTTCCCTCCATGGCTTCTCACCTTGAATGTTTCCTATTCTCAATCTTTTGATGTTTCCCACATTTTATATTATTTGATTATTTGATTGATACCACAACTTTCTACCAAAAAATAGTCCTCAGGCACAATTAAGAGAGATTGAACAAATGACCAATGATAAATATATGGATTTGTTGATGTTTATAATACCTTTATCTTTTTGGCATTTATATATCGTTATTTGTTTTTCGGTGCCAGGCTAAGACCTTTTTATTTAAAACTTATTTTAATTGTTAAATTATTTGTATTTATAGGATTTTAAATTTTTAGCTAAGATGCACCGGAGGTTTTTAAATAATTTTTTTAATGTTATATTGTTATTTATTTATGTATTTTGTTTCTGTTGTGAGCTGCCCCGAGGCTTCGTTGTGATGGGGGTGGCATAAAATGTTTTAAATAAATGAATGAATGAATAAAATATTGATTATGACTTCCAGACTAATTTGAAACTGAACCATATATTCTATTATTGTGTTTCCTCACATGCACCTAGGAATACTTCATAATTGATGCTCATTCCATGCTACTGGAAGACTGCCATGCCCCCCAAACAATGTCAGTATATTTGGTTTTTAGAAACCATGATGAGAATCAATGGCCTGTTCTATGGTTTCCATGCATCATCTTGGTTTGTCCAGCTGTCCAAAGCCAACACTGTGGATTTGATGCTCCCAGTATGCAACTATCCCAGAGTTTCCTGGAAAATGCAGCAACTGCAGCCTTCAGTGTGGGCATGGTGGCTGATGGGATATGGGCCAACAGTGGGAGGTCTGAACAAGGAGGGTGGAACCCATGCTGGTGTAGAAACCACTTGGTCATCTGATGGACACATCCAGCCAAACACACACACACCATGGAAGCCATGCCAGGTTGCTTGGCATGTCTAAACCCAGCCAGTCATTCAGTAAGTACCATTTGAGTAAACACAGGGATGTCTTCCTCTTAATTAGTTAATATCTGGTATTCCTGTTTATGCTGGTATCAGTTGAATTCCCAGTCAAGATGAAACCTTGCACTATCTAAATGTGGCTCCCAAGGCCTCCTGAACCTGTTTGTTCCTCAAACAGTATATGAAGGGGATCGGAAGAGGGAAAGAATGGTGTTGAGAACAGCTACTGCCTTGCTGAAGTCTAACTCACTGGTGTCCCTTGGTTTGATGTACATGAAACGCAGCTGTTGTAAGTGATTCAGACCACAGTGATGTGGGCAGAGCAGGTAGAAAAGGCCCGCCGCCTCCCTGTGCTTGATGGGATGCATGAGATGGTGGAAATAATTTTGATGTATGACACAATGATTATAGTCAAGGTCCCAAGTAGAGAGAGTGTAGCAAGGAGGAAATGTGTGCTATAAGCTGGTGAGATGAATTTGCTACGCAAAATGAGCCTCTTTCATTGGGAAAGTGACCAATAGGCTGCTCCTTGGGGAAGGAGCTCTGAGGTCTCATGTGAATTTTTCGAACTGAAAAGCTAGTTGTGCTCAATGATTGGGGACATCAGAATGTCTCACAACACTGAGAGGTTGCTTCCATGTTCACCTCTGGTGTAGGAAGACTGGGAAATGTGTGTAGTAAAATTTCTAGAGATTGCTGGTTTGTGGAAGACGTCAACACTCATTTTGAAGGCACGGAGGTAAAAAAGTTGCAATCTCTGGAAGTAAGTTTTGGCAGAGGAACCTTGTCTGTGACCCTGGTGAAGGTCATCTCCATCAAGTGTGGAAAAGGGACTTCTTGCTCATCCAGGTCAGCAGTGAGTATCTTGTTGAGAGTTGATGTTTACATGGTGAACGGAGATGATTTTGATGATTCTGTTTTGGGGTGATGGATCCCAAATACTTTTTCATTGTAACATTAGGTATAAATGGCATCCCTCAGTCTATCTTATTCTTTTTGCAACCAATATATGCAACAGAAGTTGCACAAGCAAAACACAATCACATACATATAGGTCATGGTTCATGATCTGTTCATTAATTTAGTATTAGTAGTGTTATTAATATTATTATATTGCAATAATTGTAATATTGCACTAAAAATAAAGTATCAAAGGCTGTGAACCCTGAACAGGGCAAGGGCAAGTGTGCATGGGAAAAGCCCGCAGGATGGGTGTTTTAGGAAAAGATGTAGGGACTACAAATCAGGTAGCTCCAACCCAGGTTATTTCTCTTTTCTGAATGGCTTAATTTGAAAAAAAAAGCTTCAAAACTTTTAATATTATTTAAATTCTGGAAATCACATTGCAGTTCAGAATAATTCTCTGAATATTTCATCAATGTGAGATTATTTTTATCTCAACACTAAATGCACTTCTTGTTTTGTCCAAGAAGTGCACCTTTCAGTGAAATTAATTGCATTTCCTGGTTGTTGCTGATTTTGGGCCAAACCAGTCTTTCCCAACCTTGTGTCTGCAGCTGTAGTTGGACTACAAGTCTCCATATGCCAAGCCTTCAGTGAGAGGTTCTGGAATTACTAGTCTTCTGTTTCCATTGGAGTAAGAACAGTAGGTGTTTACTGGCATTTTGTAGTGCTATTTATTTCTATTTCCAAATTTACAGATGCCACAGAGGTGGAAGCTCACAGATGAATGCTCCAGAAATCCACTGTCCCAGCAGATCTTCTGGTGATGGAGATGGAGACCTGAACCCTGACTATGCTTTGAGAGGATGTATTCAGTTCCTTCTTCCATGACTTGATCATCTGGATTGCCTTCCTCTGACCTCACAGCAATACATTAGGTTGACATAGTGGCAGACTTTGGAAGGTGCATTTCTGAACCCAATCAAAAACACAGCTGTAATGATTCCTTTTATTTTCACTTTGCTTTCCGGAGTGCCTCAAAGATGCAGAATATCACCATGGTAAGGGAATTCATACTTCTAGGCTTCACTCATGACTTCAGGCTTGCCATCTTGCTTTTCCTGCTGCTGTCCATCACCTATATTTTGACCCTCATGGGGAACACCATGATTATTGTAATCACGTTGATGAATCACCAACTGCATACACCCATGTATTTCTTCCTGAGACACTTCGCCATCTTGGAGGTTGGGTTTACCACCACTGTTATTCCTAAAGCTTTGGCCAACATAGCGCTTGGCCACAAGACTATCTCCTTACAAGGTTGTTTCACACAATCTTTTCTGTACTTTGTGCTTGGAACCATGGAGTTTATTCTGCTGGCAGTCATGTCCATGGATAGATATTTGGCCATCTGTAACCCTCTGCATTACCCAGCCATAATGACTGATAGAACCTGCTCGTGGTTGGTGCTTTGCTCTTGGGTTGGGGGTTTACTTTTAATTATGGGCCCCTCAGCTATATTATTTCACATGCCATTCTGTGGCCCAAACACCATCAACCATTTTTTTTGTGACAGTGGACCGTTGATCAAACTTGTGTGTGTTGACACAAGTCTGCTAGAATTCATTGATCTCCTCACTGCTACTCTTTCTCTCTTTGGGTCTTTAGCCATAAATATTGTCTCCTATGCCAATATTATTTCTACCATCTTTCATATCCCGTCAACCACAGGGCGGCAGAAGGCTTTCTCCACTTGTGTTTCTCATATCACTGTGGTCTCCATCACTTATGGGAGTTGCATTTTTATGTACATCAAACCGAGCGGTGCTGGCAAGATAGACCTCAGCAAGGCAGCAGCTGTTCTTAACACTGTCGTATCTCCTTTGTTGAATCCATTCATATACTGCCTGCGGAACAAGCAGGTCCAAGGTGCCTTGAGAGATACATTTAGAATGTGCACTGTTGTTTTTAAGAATCCACCATGACAGAGGCAATTTCCAAGGTGAGCCTGAAATACCAATTGTGGAATGAGCCATTTTCGATTGCCATCTCAGACTAGGTATTTCTTTCAAGCGCTGGGTGTGACTAACAAAACTGAAACACAAAACTGCTTCGTAAAAGAAATAAAATCTAACTCAACTTTGGCATGGAATCAATAAGCACCAATTGGTAGCAGTTATAGAAAACAAGTTTCCAAATTTTTGCAGATTCAATGAAATGAGTGGGAGTGAAGATATGTATTAATAATTTGCTTTCTCTTGACTGTGATGGGACTCTTCAAATCTGGATCAAGCCCCATCAAATAGCATTGAATAACCTAGCAGAATCTTTCCCTTAGCATGGTCTCTAAGATGGTCAGATTCGGTGTGCTGATTCACATATTGGTATGGCCAGTTCCTTGGAGATTTTTCAGCATGAACAGGAGTGAGATCATGAAGGCTGAAAGTATGAGATGAGATGTCAGAAGCAAAGATGCTTTATCACAATGCGAGCCCCTAACTCTGTGAAACAAGCTGGTTGCTTCAAAGCAGGGATGGACATGTTCCTCCAAGCTCCAAGTGGCACAGAAAACATCATCCACTTCATTGCTCATCAATGAGCAACGAATTGGGTGATATTTGGCTCAAGATGAAGTTTGGCTTATCTCCCATCCAACCCACAGAGATTTCTGAGTCCTCTCCAAACTCAGCAAGCCTTCATTTGCCTTGCAACAATTCTTCCAACACCCTTCTGATGTCCTTTCTCCCTTAGCTTGATGCTGCTCCAACACTGGCTGGTGACAGGGAGATGGAACACAGAATCATCCCCATCTGTACTCCTGCCATTCGTGTGCTGCTAGGTTGTGGTTGTACTTTGGAGATTAAAGAGCTTTTGACTAAGAATGGTCTGTTGTTTGAAAGTCCAAAGGGGGAAACCTGGCTTCTGACAATGCCACTGCTTACTTTCTCACTGGCTGTCATGAGGCCATAACTTAAGTCTCTAATTAACTCACACAACAGTCGGCAATAAAACTAAAGACTTTTATTGCTATTTACTACAAGATTTACGATGCAACAGATAAGCTCTGGCAATGAGCTCCTCGCAGCTCAGTTGCCCCCTCCTTTCTGAACTAAGAGGAAGACAGTCACGTGGATCTTAATCTCCTCTTACATCTTTCTATCTGTGGGTGGGACAAACTTCTCTCCTGCCATCCCAATTGGTCTAACTTATGCAATCTTCTCTGGAGCTGGGCATTCTGTAAATTTCCTGTTACGTCCTCCTGTTCTCCAGGACTCTGCCCAGCAGCTTCAGAGTCAGGAGCCGGGGGGGGCAACTTGTTCAAACACCTCAGAGTCTAGAGGAAGGGAAGCTGCACCCTGCTCCAACAACTCAGAGCTAGGTTGTGGGGAGGCTACTCACTTGGAAGCCTCAGAGTCGGGCTGCAGAGGGGCCATTTGGGCCCTGGGCACCAAGTATAAATCTCCTTGTTCCAATGCCTGACCCTCACTGTGACCCTCTCACGTGCCAATGCCTCTGTCAAACTGTAAGGCATGACACTGGCTTGCTGCCTGCAAGGAAAAATAGAGGTAACCATGATGTGAGGGAAGATGAGGAGCAAGATCGGCTCATGCCAATGAGACTGATTTTCTTTGGGAAGCATGTTGTTGAATGTTTCATGCCCGTGAACTCTCAAAAACTTGGTGCCAACACTGTAGTCTTTGAAGCCTTACACCTTCTCCTTCTCCTTCCCCCTCCTCCTGCTCCCTAGATTAATAGACTAATTAGTAGATTAATATTAGATTAGTAGATTCATATTGACTTTCACCTTTGTTATCAATATCATTTTCATTTGGCTGTCCTGGAAATTATCTAATCTGGGAAGTCATGAGAAATGTTTCACTAAGGTGCAGGATGTAGGGCTGTAGGAGCAAGTAATTTCACTCCAATGTTTGGGTCAGGGTTTACCCAGTAACATAGAAACAGAGAGAGTCAGAAGGGTCTCCCGGGCCATCTAGTCTGACCCCAGCCCTGAGTTTATAATGTGTTTGGTGCACTTGGGCTGAGATGAAACTGGATGGATGGATGGATGGTTGAATGTACTGTCCTTCTACCATTTGTGGACTTGCTACAGTTCTCAGGCTGGTCTTGGAAGGCAATCTGAGCTGAGAACATCCTTGAGTGGCAATGAGCTTTGAGATAGACTTGGGATGACTGTAGCAAGATTGTGTTTTGCTGATTCATACATCCTGAGCAAGACAAGCTGGGAAATTGGAGTGGGGCAATGCTCTGTGATTGGGGTTTGGGGACTAATCCCTGCAGAACCTTGGAAGGTTCCAATAGCTAGATCACAGTGTTCTGCAGACTAGACATTCTGCAGCCCTGGTACATATTTTGCTGAAGCGTAACAGGCAAGTTCCAGGAGCATTATCCATGGAAGTAGCATCTCAATACTGTTTGCATTTGTAAGAACCAGAAACTACTTCCTTACAAACCATTGGTTTATTGCATTTATTTAAAGCATCTTTATGGCATCTTTCTGAAACTAACCAAAGTGTTATTCCAAGAATTGAAACAAAGAGGATATCCAAAGAAACGCATCAGAAATGCTGAAAGGTCAAAGACATGATAACACTTCCAAAAGTCATGCTAAATGGATGTGTCAGGATCCACTCCCCGAATGCAGAGGGAAAAGGGAGCATCCACCGCTCCCAAGACAATGTGCTACAGAGTCTGGGTGTGCCACAAGGTGGAGCACTTTCAAGTGTGCCCAAGCAAATGGGGCATCTTCAGAAGGACCTCTCTTGCTCTTAATCACTGAGCAGGTTCCTATCAAGACATGATGTCCTCCAAGAGCCAGGCTGCAATCCGGAGTGGTCTTGTGATCCCTAGGCAGCATCTAGAGGTCCACAAGCGTTTGGAAAGTGACTTTGGAGGGACTCCATGCTTGGGGCACCCTCCATCTCCCCCTTTACAGCTGGTATGGAAAGAACTGCTTCTCCAACCTCAGAGCAGTGGTTGAAGGGGTCTTCTGGGGGGCGGGGAGAAGGGAGGGGAGGAGACCAGCATTGCCAAGATATGAGGCATCCAGGTGGTCCTTCTACCTCGCCCCTCCACCATTCCTCCATTGTGCCACAGTTAGAGCACCATTTAGCTCCTTTGTTGGCATGAGTGTGAAGACTGCCTTCACTTCTGCACTTCTCCTGCCCTGCATAGGATGCTCATAAGCCTAGACTTCATAACCTCCTGAATCTGGGGGCTAGGACAGCCTTATTGGATTTCAGTTTTAGAAGCAGCAGCTGAGCTCCAGTCTGGAAAACCACTGGAAACCAGCACAGATATTTCAGTATTGGGTCAGTGATCCTGTGGACACAATGCCAGGTACTCAAAGCTCCTGCATTCCTGTTTTCATATACATAAGCTGTAGGACAGTCACACAATGTCCATTCAGAAGAACATAAGGACATAAGAAAGGCTGTGCTGGATTAGGCCAAAGGTACATATGGTGTTCTGTACATACAGTAGTAAACCAGCTGCTCACAGGATCCATCAAGCAGGATGGGTGCAAGACCTCCTCCTGCCCAAGTTCCTCAGCAACTGGGGAATGCAGGAATGGCACCCTTGGTGAAGGAGGCAACCCATAGCCCACAAGGCTAGTAGCCACTGAGAGCCTCCTCCCCCATTAAACTGTCCAATCCCATTTTGAAGTGGTCATCACCTACTCCCATGGTAGCAAATTCCACAGTTTAATAATACTCTGTGTGAAGATGGTCTTCCCTTGATCTGTTCTAACTTCCTACCAATCATCTTCATGGGATGACACCAGGTTCAAGTATTATGGGACAGGGTGAAAAGTACCCCAGTTTTTGTAGCTGCTCCTCACAGGAGAGATGCTCCAGCCCCCTGATCATTTTTGTTGCCCTTCTCTGTGCATTTTTAGCTATCCATGAAGCTGACTCTCAGCCCCAAAGTAGGCTCACCCCCATGGAGACTGAGGACTGCTTCTAGGAAATGGAAAAACACACGGGCATCACCAGTGCATCTTCTTCCAGGCCTTTTAAAAAGGTGAACATGATGAGCACCTGAAATTTGACCAGTGAGTTGGCTATTTATGCAATTCTGCCATTTCACTCTTTGGCCAAACTTGAGATAAAATTGAAAGCCTTTCCATATCAAACACCACACCTGGGTGCTCCTACCCCAACACATTTCTTCATTTCAGTGGTATAATCAGGCAGCACTAGCATTTCATTCCAGTTTGTAAATCATGCAAACATGTCCAGGTCACACTTCTGAATGCACAAGAATGTGGAATTTCTTCTTTTGCAATGTTTTGAGGTTGTGTTTCTTTTTGAAAGTGTACAATTGTACAAATATTCTCTTGTGCAAGCACACATTTGTCTTTTAGTTTTTTGGGGGTAAAGTATGCATTTGGAGCATGCACTTGGGAAAGGGCACTGTTTGTTTTAAAAAATGTACACTGATCCTGTTTGTTTGCTTAAATCCCAAAGCTTTACCAGTGAACCTAGATGTCCCCTGGCATAGATTTTTGTGGAAGAAAAAGCTTCTTGAGCTCAAAGACCTTGAATATAGGTAACTGAAGAAAAAAAAACCATGGAAATGAAATCCACAAATTTCAAAGAATTATGGTAAAGAGTCTGGGTGATAAAAGGATGTAGAGCAAAAATAGGCAATGACTTGGAAGCAAGAACTACATGACCAGAACTGAGCAAAACACTCAGTTCTTCACCTGCAGCGATTCTCACTATGGATGCTCTTGACAAAACAAAGTAGACCCATTCAAACCAATGGGACACATCAATCATGAGTAACTGAAGTACTCTTGATTTTAGAAAGTCTCCAGGGATTAGGAAATCAACCCTGACTGCTCTTTAGAAGGCCAGATCCTGAAGATGAAGCTCAAATACTTTGGCCACCTAATGAGAAGGAATAACTTATTGGAGAAGACCTTGATGCTGGGAACAATTGACGGCAAAAGGAGAAGGGGTCAAAGGAGGATGAGGTGGCTAGATGGAGTTACTGGAGCAGTGGGTGTGAGCTTGAATGGACTCTGAGGGATGGTGGAGGACAGGAGAGTCTGAAGGAATGTTCTCCATGGGGTCGTGATAGGTTGGGCACAACTTTGTGACTAACAACAACAACTCCAGGGGTTGGCAATATATTTTTAGCCATGGGCACACTGGGCGATTTGAGAGACTGTCCAAGGTACTACAACAAAATGGTTTCCCTGGAGGACAAAGGACAAGTCACCTGCCCAGAAAGTCTGAGTGAAAGCCAGACATGGATTTGTAACCATGCATGTTGAACAACAGTTCATTCCACAGTTCCCAGCAGCAAGAGAAACTTCTGAAACAATCCCAGCTTGTAGGAAGAAAATGTGATAGGGCATCTTGGTGGGTGCCAGGAAAAAAATTTGGGAGTTTATTGGGGCCCACGTGTTGCTTGCCCCTGGTCTGCTCTGAACATGACCAGGAGGCAACAGGAACCAATAATTTGAGAAGTTTCACTTCTGAGGGTGCTCTAAAAAGCTTGCTCCAAAGGTAATGCTTAATTTGCATCTCAGTGTTGATGATGGGGCCATTTCTATTCATTCTGATTTCTTAAACAGTCCGTCACATCATTGAATGCAGCTTTCAGGGCATCCTGAACCTGCTTGTTTCTCAGGCAGTATATGAATGGATTTAGAAGTGGGGCCACTACTGTGTTAAGAATAGATACCCGCTTTCTGGAGCTTAACTCCATGGCATAGCTTGGTTTGATGTACATGAAGATGCAGCTTCCATATGTGAGAGAGACCACAGTGATTTGAGAGATACAGGTGGAGAAGGCCTTCTGCCTCCCTTCTGTGGATGGGATGCACATGATGGTGGAAATGATATTGGCATAGGACACAAGGTTTACGGTCAAGGTTCCAAGGAGGGAAAGAGTAGCAAGAAGAAAAACCATGAATTCCAGGAGACTGGTGTCCATGCACGACCGTTTGATCAGAGATCCAATGTCACAGAAGAAATGATCCATGGCACGTGGGCCACAAAATGGCAACCCAAGCAATGCTATTGCTGGACCCAGAATTAGCAAGAACCCTGCCATCCAAGAGCAAAGCACCAGTAGTGAGCAGGTGGGACCAGTCATGATGGAGGTGTAATGGAGAGGGTTGCAAATGGCCACGTATCTATCAATGGACATGATAGCCAACAATAGGAATTCTGTCAATCCCAGGGATAGGTACAGATACACCTGAAGGAAGCATCCAGGTAAAGAGATGGTTCCATCACCGCTGAACATGTTGGTCAGTGCTTTGGGAATGATGGTCATGGTGAATCCGATCTCCAGTATGGCAAAGTGTCGAAGGAAGAAATACATCGGGGTGCAGAGCTGGTGATTCACCAGTGTGATCGTGATAATCACTGCATTCCCAGTGATGGTCAGGAGGTATGTACTGGCCAGTAGGGATGCGAGCAGGACTTCAAGTTGACGGTTGCTGGTAAAACCCAAGAGCAGGAATTCACTCACTGTGGTTCTATTCATCATTTCTGGCAAAGTGAAGGCAAAAGAAGAAACTGAAAGGTTTTCTTCGCATGGGCAATTTCAAATAAAGTTAAGCCATGAATGTTGAAATTCCACAGCAATTAAATCAATGTGATCTTTGCTATCTTGCTCGGCTTGCTTAAGTCAAGTGTGATAAAGCCCAATTTTTTGTCTCCAGTGACAACAAGTCCGATACTGCAGTCCAATGTCAGATCAGGTTTTCCACCTCTCAGTCAGACTCACAATGGTGGCAGCTATGAATTGTGAGCCTGAGTTTGGCTTTTGTTGAGCACTGTGCAAGTCCAACTACTTCCCGTCAGAAACTTCACCAGTCTTATTCATGTTATTTTGGCATCTCTCAAAATTCCTCATTGGAAGAGGAAATTCCACATTAATTTCTGTTTGGATTTCAGCAAAATCCAGCAAGAAACGAGGGATGTTTTCACTCCACCCAGTGAGAAATTTTACTGGGTTTTTCCAAACTCCTTTGGCTTCACTAAAAAGTTTCTCTATTGCTTTGCCTCTGATGAAACTCCATTTTTTGAAAATCCCCTTTGGATTACTTTGGATTCCCTTTGTCTACTTTATGGCCATCATCAGCCATTTGTCAAAATTTCCAGCCTGTGTTTGTCTAGATATTCACATTGCATATATGAACATCTAGACAAGTTTAATAATACATTTAACACATTTAATAATAGTATCTGCAATAATACTAATAATAATAACAACAGTAATAATAACAGATTTATATCCCAGCATTTTCCCTTCTGCAAAGAAATCCATGCTTTAGATATGGCCCTTCTTTTTAATTTATTCTTACAATAATCCTGCAACGTAGGCAAGACTTAAGAGCCCATGACTGGGCCAAAGTCACCCCGTGAGCTTCATGACCACATGAGGACTAGAACCTTGGTTTTCAGAGAGTTAGTCACTGTGGCATATTAGCCAAACACTTCTGTTCATGTAAGCCTTCTTCCAAGCATCCAGTGCCCTTCCAGAGTTTTTCCAGAGCTTTCAGAAGGGACAGAGGGGGATTCCCACACTACGCTAATTGTGCTTCAGCAGCAAAAACAACAATAAAAAGGGGGAGTTGCCACCAAATTCAGATCTTGTGGCCATCAGAAAGGGATAATTTAGAACAGGGGTTCCCAAGCTGGGGTGCCTGCACCCCCAGCGGGTGTGAGATGGCATTTCAGGGGGTGTGAAAAAAAGGAAGGGCATTATTCACCAAAAATTAACCCACTAACAAAATTATTTATTATTCATGTCACTTTCCTGGTCTTCTGCAACATTATTATGATTTCTATACAATCATAGAAGAGTTGGAAGGGTCTATAGGGGCATTGAGTCCAGCTCCCTGCTCAGTGAAGGGCTCCAAGTTCAAACATCCCTGACAGATGGCTGTCTAGCTGCCTCTTTCCTGGAAAGGGAGAAGAAACTCCTAGGAAATCCAGGACAGGGCTGGCAAGGTTAAAGAATTAGTTGTTGCGAAGCCCATTTTTCCAGCTATCTGGAAAAAAAATCCATCCGTCCATCCACCCACCCCTCCATCTCATTTCTGCATCACCCAACAGTCAAAGAACTCTGGACTCAGCATGGAAACCAAAACCACAAAATACAGTATGGTAAAATGTAACAGAGACACTTTTAAGGGACTGAAAGCAAAGTTTAAAAGAATAGAGTAAAATAAATCAACTGTGCTAAGACCTAAAACCACAACAACACATTTAAACATAAAACAAGTATTAGACACTATGGAGTAGTTAAAATGTCTTCAACAGATGTCAAAAAGCCGTTCCAAGGGAGCCTCTCCACAGTTTATAACTAGGGTGCCAGCACTAAGCAGGTCTTGTCTTTAGTAGAGAACAACTTCAGCTCCTTTATGTGTGGGGGTCTGGAAAAGGGCATCTGATGGTCTAACATATAGGGCATGTATATATGGTTATGACCCCTTTGGCCACCTACCTCCAAATCCCTTAAAGCTCTATGTTCAGGATTCAATTTATTTTCTTAGTTTTCTGATCGTGCCTTCTAAGGTTTGTGGAACTCAGACATAGTCCATAGATTTAGTCAGTTTATTTCCTTAAGTTCATTCCCTAGGAAGTTAATTACCGGACTGATAACACCTAAGAGGCAAATTCTGGTACCTCGAAGCATAAACTTTTTGTTTTCCTTGTTTAGTGAGCTGGTACTATTGCTTTGGTTAATGAAGTTAATGAGGACAGCTGAATGTTGGGAATTAATCAGCTGCTTAAAAAAGAAAGAAAAAAACACTGAGGAAAATTCTCCCAGTAAGTTTCCTGCAATCTTTTTACATAATCTTCCTTCTTAAAAAGTTGGTTTGAAACATATGGCAAAGGTTACAAGTAAATGCATCGGCAGATTTCCTAACTTATACCTCAAAATGAAGAAATCACCTCTTATTTTAATCCAGCTTTCTAGCATTTTTATGTTCTCTCTATCTTTTGGGTGGAAATATTCTCTTTTCCTGGGCTCCAAGATCACTGCAGACAGTGACTGAAGCCAAGAAATTAAAAGACGCTTGCTCCTTGGGAGGAAAGCTATGGCAAATCTAGACAGCATGCTAAAAAGCAGAGACATTACCCTGCCAACAAAAGTGTGTATAGTTAGGGCGATGGTTTTCCCAGTTGCAATGTATGGCTGTGAAATTTGGACCATAAGGAAGGCTGAGTGGTGAAGAATTGAGGCCTTCGAATTGTGGTGCTGGAGGAGACTCCTGCGAGTCCCTTGGACTGCAAGTCGATCAAACCGGTCAGTCCTAGAGGAGATCAACCCTGGCTGCTCTTTGGAAGGCCAAATACTGAAGATGAAACTGAAATACTCTGACCACCTAATGAGAAGGAAGGACTCCCTGGAGAAGAGCCTAATGGTGGGAACAATAGATGGCAAAAGAAGGGGACAGCAGAGGATGAGGTGGCTGGATGGAGTCACTGAAGCAGTTGGTGTGAGCTTAAGTGGACTCCGGGGGATGGTGGAGGACAGGAAGGTCTGGAGGAGTGTTGTCTATGCGGTCTCGATGGGTTGGACATAACTTCTCAACTAGCAAGCAAATTCTCTTTAAAATTGTCAGCCTCCCAGAGAACTTCAGCTATGGGCAGTATAGAAATGAAATAAAATGAAACTCTGCTGGCCATGTTTCATAAACATTTGGACAACTGTAAAATAACTTTTACTGTAGTTTTTTCCAGGACTCCTGCCAACACCAACACATGACTGTTTCTTTATTTAACTTGCCATTGCAGTACCCACATTTCTTTCTCTTTGGTTTCTTTCACTGATACCAAGCAGCTAAATCTGGTGGGTGATTAATTTAATTTGTTTTGTTTCCAAAGTGCTTTGGCAAATGCAGAAGTGACGGACAAGAAGGAGAGGGCCCCCCCAATTATTTTACGACGCATTGTCTGGGGTTAGGCTGCTGTTGCCATTGTTGCAGTGGTGTTACCGCTGGAGAGCGAATGAAAGTCAAATTGATTTGTCTCTTGTTTGCTCAAGAGACCTGTGGAAGGGTTGGGGGATGTCCAGTGTTCAGTAACAAGCCTGACATGAAAAACAGAGAGTATCAGCCAGAAGCCAGGGAAATGATAAAACTGTGGCTGAGGTGAAGGCCAAGTTTCATAGGTGTCTTCTGTCTTTTCATGATTGCAAGTCAAGAAATATTTGGGGAAGGCTTATCAGAGCAATCAACAGTACGGAGTGCCCTTCTACATAGATCCAGCAGAGGGAGCCATATCACCAATGTTGCTTCCTGGGGAGATTAAAATGATACACAAAGGACTCTAGTTTGGAGCAGTTGGTTGTACAACCTAAGGAAAATCTTCCCCAGGTATCTGTATATAAGCTTCACCTGGCTGATAGTTGATTAGACAGAGCAGGATCAGTCACAGGATCAGTCACAGTAAGACCAAAGGACGCAGGAAATGCATTTCTCTCCTGGTTCCTGACGATGTCTTTGGAAAAATACCCCCATATTTCATGATGGATTTTCTTTAAACGTAGATATATTTTATGCTTCTTCTAAAAACAGACTCAAATACAACTTGTAATGTAAAATGATTGTGAAAAATTTAAAGAAAGAATTGTAAAGGAATGTAAAAAATGTAAAGGAACATGAAAAATGTAAGACCATCTTGATTCTTTACAAGGTGTAGAGGTAAGGCGACATTCCCGTAAAGTGTGACATGTGTCTCCATGTTTGGGAACACATTGTGACAAATACCTTGTTTTGCAGATGGAGTGAAGGCTACGGGGCAGGGTTAGGTCATGACATTTCTAAAACACTGGGTTTAAAATGCTGTTTGTGCAGGGAAAATGCAGGGAACTGAGGGAAATGTTGTGTGTAACAGTTCTGTGGGTATAAAAATGCTGAATTTAAGTTGTCTTATATATTTGCTTGAAGATGGAAATTTAACTATGTTCCTCTGGTTTTAAAATATTGGTTCAAAAACAATGCTCTAAGGATGGTCATCGATCCTTATTGTCAAAATACGGTTCCATAACGCATGTTTGAGTACAATCCTATGTCTTTCCAATGTGGCCAGGAAGGCACCGGAATATTCATATTGGCAGCTGAAGGACCTGCAATTTGGAGCTGGTTCTCAGGAAGCCAAGCCCTGACCCGCATGCCATCGCAGTGGGCGTGGAAGGCACACTTCCAGCTGCATCTCCAAAGTCTGCAAAGGGAGTGTTCTGTGGGGAAGGGAAGATGCTGAGGTGGACTTAGTACCAACATCCTTCTTTTCCCTTCCTGAAGTTTTACCTATTGACATGACAATCTGGATAAAAATTGGGATGAAAACCATGGCAGTGGAGGAGATCATAAGCAATGCATCAACTTTGGGGCCTAGAAGGCAGGTAGGTTTGGGGACTTACATGCATCAAGAACAGGAGCAATATGACTTCACCCCTAAAAACAAAACATGTGGCGAATGCTGGTAGATTTGTGAATGTTTTGATACAATCGGTTTGTATATCCTTGTATATCCTTTCCATTGCAAAAATCATGATTTGGAAGAATCATGACACTTGGCAATCTATTTTGATGATCCCAATGACAGGAGAGAAGGAGATGCAGTCGGTATGATACAATCCTGAGAAAGGTATGTGGGGAATGCCAAATCGGTTGGATTTCTTGTGGATTCAAATGAGGGAGAGGATACATTTTTATATCAGCTTCTGCTCTTGGAAGAGGTCATGAATTGGCGAGCGGTTTTAGCTAAATTTATTCTGAACTGTGTATTTTTGTTCCTTCCAGATTATTCAGCCGTCTCAAATTGGCCATGGGATTGAGGAACCCAAATAACACAGAGCAGGTGACAGAGTTCATCTTAATGGGCTTCCAGCTCCCCAGGCCCTTGGAGCTCCTGCTTTTCGTGGTGTTCCTTGCTGTTTTCCTCCTCACACTAGCTGGGAATGTCACCATCATTGCACTGGTGTGCCTCAACCAGCACCTCCATACCCCCATGTACCTCTTCCTGGGCAACTTCTCCCTCGTGGAGACCTTGTTCGTCCTGTCCATCACACCCAAGATGCTGGTGAACCTGCTCTCCTCGGACAAAGCCATCTCCATCTTGGGCTGCATCACCCAGTGCTACTTCTACTTCTCCCTCGGTGCTTGCGAGAGCAGCCTCATCGCTGTCATGGCCTTCGACCGCTATGTGGCCATCTGCTACCCACTCCGCGATGCTGTCATCATGAACAGACAGCGCTGCAGCACCTTGATGCTGGGCTGCTGGGTCGGCGGGTTCCTTGCTCTCTTTGGCCCGATGCCTTTCCTGCTCCGCCTGCCCTTCTGTGGCTCAAATCGCATCGACCATTTCTTCTGTGACTATGCCCCAATCATCAAGCTTTCCTGCAGCCAGAATGTGCTCTCCCTCCTGGTGGTTGAGACCATCCTCTCCTCGGTGCTGCTGCTCAGCTCCTTGACCGTCAACGGTGTCTCTTACCTCTACATCATTGCAACCATCTTGCGCATGCGTTCCAGCAAGGGCCGGCAGAAGACCTTCTCCACCTGCGCTTCCCACATCACTGTGGCCTCCGTCTTCTTCGCCAGTTCCATCTTCATGTATTCACTGCCCAGCAAGGGATGCTCTCAAGAAGTCCAGAAGGCAGTTGCTATCCTCACAGCAGTGGTGACCCCATTACTAAACCCATTCATTTATACTCTGAGGAATGGAAAGGTCAAGGATGTCTTAAAGAATTGTCTAAAGAAGTGGGCTTGGTTCCAGTGAAAAAGGTGGTCGAATCTGGAGCTACCTGCACCTTGAAACTTGGATCCTTGTGGTTAGGAGTACCCAGGTTTATGGAGAGCAGGTTAAGGAATGCAGAAAAGTTCTTGTGCTTCTCTGTTGGAAGGTCATCTTTATGCATGCCTGAGTCATTTCATTTCATCCCACTGGAACTTTACCCCTATATTAGGGATGGGATGTGCCCCAGGGCAGGGTTAGGGTTAGAAAAACGAGGTGTCCTGGCATGGTTTTGATGGTTGGAATGTGTTCAGAATGGGCAGAAATGATGAGCAGTGCAGAAAAAGCTACTCAAGGACGACTTTTTCAAAATCGCATTATTTTCAAAGGAACTTTACCCCTATATTAGGGTTAGGGGTGTGCCCCAAGATAGGGTTGGGGTTAGAAAAACGAGGTGTCCTGGCATGGTTTTGATGGATGGAATGTGTTTAGACTTGGCAGAAATGATGAGCTGTGCAGAAAAATCTACTCAGGGAAGGCTTTTTCAAGATCGCCCCTTTCAATGGTATTTTATCTTTATATTAGGGTTATGGGAGTGCACCAGGGCAGGGTTAGGCCAGTGGTGGGGAACCTATGGCACGCAGGCCCACAGTGGGCATGCAGAGCCCTCCCTGTTGGCATGTGAACCAACTCGCCCCAGCATCGCCCCAGCAGCCGAGCATCGGATAACAGTGCACATAGGGGCCATGCGCATGCTCAGAAAGGAGTATCAGTGCCAGACGATGACGTCATGAGCCGTGACTCATTAGCTGTAAACCATCTGAGCTTTCGCATGGCCAGTCAGTGTGCTGCCAAGGAAATATATGTGTGTGTGTGTGTGTGTGGTTGGACTGGCTGCGAGTTGTTTTTTCTAAACTAAAACCTCAGTTTTCAGGGTTTATTGCAGTGTTGGCACTTTGCGATAAATAAGTGGGTTTTGGGTTACAGTTTGGGCACTCGGTCTCTAAAAGGTTCGCCATCACTGGATTAGGGCATGGTTGACTGAGCGAAAGCAGAGGGTAACCATTAGTGGGGAATCATCAGGTGGGGGCCAGTGACAGGCAAGGTCCCCCAGGGCTCTATACTGGGACCAATCCTGTTTAATCTTTTCATCAATGACATGGAAGAAGGGGTGAACAATCGGCTGATCACACAGTCTGCTAACTCTCAGTGGTCACAACTGAGGAGCATGTACTCCAGATCCAGAAGGATCTGGACAGACTATGGAAGTGGGCAGGAGACAAAATTATCCTCCTACCACAAAACTGACCTCCTGAAATTGCCCATTATCCCTCCTCACTTTTGCAGTGAACTGAGGTCCTAGAAAAGTAGAAGGGGACAGATACTTGACCCAACCCTGGAACATTAATATCAATGCATTGGTCTTTGTCTTCCTATACAGAAAAACCAAAGTTCCACTTTGAATTTTGCTGTAGGTGAGAACTGGAAAGTGTTTCGGGATGCACACCACACTCATTGAAACATTTTCCTGCTCTTATTGAAACTTTTTCACTTTCGTCATTCTTTCATCTGAGACAAGAAGCACTGCAATCACTTTCCAGGTTTCATGCATGCAAAATATTGGTTGCAGTTCCACTTCTCTTACAGAAAGATGCACAGCGTGACCGCCGTTCATATTGAGCATCTATCTGATAAAACAGCTCGCCATCCACAGTGGAATCTGCTTTCCCCTTCTTTTGCTTTCCATTCTTCTTGTGGTGACAGTGGATTCCCTGAAGAAATTGTGCAATTTGATAGACATCAGAGCTTTGGGAAGGAGCCATAGCAAGTGATGTAGCTTGTGTTCATGTTGGGTGGCTTTAGATCATGAAGTCCATGCTGGAGCAGGCTCTCCATGAGAACTAGCCGTGATGACTACATAGTTGTCTGGTATTGGAGCAGTACACCTAGTCTGCATGCCAATTGCTGAGAGAGTAATGTTGAGAGCTGCCTTGAGTCCCAGCCACTGGAAATATGGGGGATATAAATAAATATAATAATAGTAACAGAAGTTCTTATGACCTTCTTGTGGGTTTCCTGTGCGTATCTGATTGGACACAAGCTTGTAGATCTGATAAGTTTTGGGGTCATTAAATATTGTTGTTCTTACCTTCTAACATCACTTGCAGGTGATGACACTGTGAATATCCCTCAGGCCATGAAATTTGCAATGTTTCACTGCAGAGAGGAGATAAATAACAAAACCAGTGGCAATTACAGATATGATTCAGTGAGAGGGCGGGGGGTCAGTCAGTCAATCAGGATCAAGCTTTTAAACAAGTTGAAAATAATTGTGTTTAGGCAAGGCAGGGGGGAAGAGGGGAGTACCACCCTCCACATTTTTGGTATGGGGTGAATTTTGAGGGCAGGAGATTCTGTAAAGTGTGCTTTCTTTGGGACCAATGTTAATATTTGTCTATCACCAAGAGGAAGCCATTGTTTTAGAAAGCAAAGTGATAGAAAAGCCACCAGGGAGCAGCAAAGACCAAGAAATGCCAAAGAAAAGCCAGCAATATAAAAATTTGTATGTGGTCAAATTAATTGGCCAGCTCTGCCATGTGGAGCAACGTCATGCATTATGATGACAATGGGGGCATTTTTTCCCGAAAAATGGATGCTGGGGGCAATTTGGAATTTGGTGGGTGTAGCAGCCAGGGAGGGAAGAGTTAAACCTCTCCACTTAGTCCCAATGAAAATCCCCCCCGCCAGTATCAGTCTTAGAAATCTGCCCGAGATCCTGCAGGTATTTAAGATTATTTTGTTTCTATACCATGCAATAGCTGAAGCTCTCTGGGTGGTTTCTAGCAATCCATAAACACAGGTATAATATTAAGATGTCAATAAAAACACAAATGCAACAAAACACAGTATAAAATTGCAATATGCAAACCTGAAAACAGTATAAACAAGTAAAACAATTTCAATTAAAAGATGCTAGTTTAAGCAGTCGATGTGACCCTTCATAGGCCATTGACTGCCCAGGGAGGGGTGGGGGAGCAAACTACCCGGCACCGAGCAATGAACACGCTGGGAGCAGGTGAGTTCTTAGAAGGCACTAAAGGGAGACTGGACAGCGGGGAGGTATCAGTGTGGCTGTTCAAGGATAGGCTAAATGTCCACATGGTGGACATGTCGTGAGTGGAGCCGGCTGGTGCCGGAGGTCAGACTAGATGGCCCGGGAGGCCCCTTCTGACTTGCTCTGTTTCTATGTTTCAATGTTTCAGAGGGTTCCAAGATGCCTGCACATTGACAGGTTGAAACCAGCAGGGTGTGAGGAGCAGCAGAGGTGAGCATTCCCATCTAGAGAAGGAAGGAAGGAAGGAAGGAAGGAAGGAAGGAAGGAAGGAAGGAAGGAAGGTAGGTAGGTCAGAATGGGTCATATCCTGGCCTTTCTACTCCCTCTCTTCTTTGCCCTCTGGAATGACAACTTTCCCCATCCCTGAGGTTAATTTTCCTTGCTTCTCAGACCCTGGAGGAATTGTTTTGGAGGGAAAATGCACTTTTGTGGGGGAAAAGTGCACATTTAAAAGTGTGCATTTTTCCAAAAGGATCTATTTTGCTAACCCCTCATAGATGAGAGAGCATTTCTCATTGGGGCTGTGATAGTGGGAAGCTCAAGGGTTTGTCAGACTGAACCCAGATCTTGCTTTTCCTTCCCTGGCAATGCATAAAATGAGAACTGCAGTGAGATCAAGTGTAACAGATCTGCTCATCCTTATCCAACAACATCTCCAATCTCACACTTTAAGCTGAGTTTCAGTGTGCAAAACTCTGCTCCTTCATAGATCTGGTGAGAGAGAGCTCAGATTCTTGGTGGGGACCTTTCCTTCTTGGAGGATGCATAGGTGGCCTTCCAGAACAGCTTGGGCTCCCTGAAGGCCTCAGAACCTAAAATCCCACACTGTGACACATGGTGGCGGTCTAACAATGCACACACTGGAGCCTACCCACAGTGCACCTGGTTCTTCCTTGCAATGAAGTATTTTTCATGCTGGGCTGTGTTTGAGATCATGTGTTTACTTGTACATGATGGAGTGTGACTCAACTCCAGAATCACCAAGAAATGCTGATCTCCAAATAGGGATACTGTTTAAGAAGATGGAATAGTCCCATCCCCACCCAATCAGGCTGGACACCAGGAAAAGCTTCCTCACTGTCCGAGCAATATGACAAGGGAACCGGCTGCCTGGAGAGGTGGTGGGCTCTCCCACACAGGAGACATTCAAAAAGAAACTGGACAGCCACCCGAGTGGGATGGTGTAACTTGGTCTCCTGCAACAGCAGTGGGGTGGACCTGATTGCCTTCTTGGAAGAGTCTTTATTCTACACAGGAGTCAGAGCTTTCACAAGTCTTGGAGCTTACACAAGGAGAAGTGTTGACCCCTCTCTGGCCCCCTTTACCCAAAGCTTTGCTTATGAATGCTTCGGGGCTGGACTTTTATTCAAACGCTATTTTAATTGTTAATATTATTTATTTATTTTATTTTTCGGGCCAGGTCGACTCATATTATATTGTTTTATTCCGTCCTTATTTATTTATTATTGTGAGCTGCCCCGAGGCCTCGGCGAATGGGGTGGCATAGAAGCCTTCTAAATAAATAAACAAATAAGGCGGCATGGTGTAAAGCATGTGCGTCTTCTCTCTGCACTCTGAGCCCCTAATTGGTCCAGCCTGAGGCTGTAGCAATGGGCCCCCACATCCATGTATTGAGGGGGCTTGTGTTCTCCCTCTGAGAATAATTCCTCCTCCCATCCTTCATCTGCCTCATTCCAACAAATGGGAGGGAAACTGGACCCAAGGTTTCCTTGGACTCCTTTGATCCAGACCCATCGCAGGCTGGCCTGACAGGAGGGCTTGACCAGATGTGGGCCCGTCATTCACAACAACTCTGTTATCAGAGTGTGAACTCTGAGCCACATCTGGTCCAGCCATCCCTGCATCCTCCTCAGAGTCTGAGCCGTCATTCCCACCAAAACCAGCCATCTCTCATGCATGCCTGGGAATC